CTTCTGGGTATGTTACCAACATTTTCCCATTCACCATGTCCCAGTGACACAGAAGTTTAGTTTTACATGCTGGTCATCCTGTGGGCCCTTGCCAGGGTTCCCACACCTGGTCCTGCCAGTTTTATTTTTGGAGCCAAGTTAAGGTAGGCACTTCATGAAGCCTCCATAGCCAATGAGTGGGGTCTCACCCAGCCTGGAAGGACAGTGGGGCAGAGGCGAGGAGAGGGAGAGGTGGCAGTGCAGGCAACATCCAGAGACCAGGCGTGAGCGGAGAGGGAGGATGTCAGTACAGCGCCAGAACGGGCTGCTGGGGGAGAGTGGAGGCAGAGAGCGTTGGGGTAAGTTGTGGGAACTCCACAAATGCCAAGATGGAGGCTGCGGACATGGCCCCGTGCTCAGTAAGGAGCCAGTCTCCAAGCAGGTGATGGGAATTGATGGAATGGTTTGGGAACAAAGGCGCAAACATACATGATGGGTTTTGGTAAGGGTGGGCTGCAAGTGACATCCTCTCCCACGATGAACAATGGAGACTCGGGGAGGAAAGGACCGCGGGGCACGGAGGAAGTAGGCTTGGGATGCTTATGGAGGATATGCTAGCACCTGGTGCTGTTGGAATGGGGTGTGAAACGGAGGAGGCTCGGGGTCAGCACTGTGACTGAGAAACAGAAGGGACCAAATGACACTGAGCATCCTTGCAGCTAACTCAGGGCCACCCAGACCTTCTCCAGCTCCGATGAGATCTTTGTACAATCTCATTCAATGTACCCTTCAAGGGGGCTTGCGTCGCAGCACAGCAGCTTAAACCACTGTAATGTCAGCATTCACAAGAATACCAGTTCAAGTCCTGGTTGTCCCATTTCGGATCCTACTTCCTGCTAATGCACTTAGAAGACTGTGGAAGACGCCCTGGGAGTTCTCGGCTGCCTGCCACTCAGGTGGGAGACCTGGATGCAGTTCCTCACTCCAGGCTTCGGCCTGGCTGAGCCTCAGCCTTTGTAGCCATGTGGGGAGTGAACCAGCAAATGGAAGATTCCTTCCATCTCTTCATTTCTCTCTTTCTCTGTAACTCTGCCGTTCAACAAAAGTAACACAAATCTCAACAAAACACGCCCTTCAAATCCATAGCAACAGGTGCCCATGTCCGTGACCTCAATGTAGATAGCTCTGCCTATTATTCAGGATATCACTCCCACCACATATTTTCCCGATGACCTTATGCAGCAGGAAGCTATTATTTTGCACAGGTGGTAGAGGAAAATCAATGGTGGTGCTGTGGAAGACCGTGGAGTGTGGGTCCAGAGTATGTGGTCAGAGCTTCCAAAACATGATTAGCATGAACAACCACCACGGGGCACCCTCTCTGACCTCAGATCGCGCAACCTGTGCAAGCTCTCCAGGTGCCTCCTCCAATGCCTCCTGAGTCATTTCCACATGGCAGTAAAGAACCTAGGTGACACCTGGCAGGTCATGGAGGCAGAGCACTCCTCAGGAAGGAGACCCCTGGTGTGCCTGTTAGATGAGTTGCCCAGTGCCCAATAGCCCATCAGTTTGTACTTTTTGAAAGTTGCTTGCTTCAAATCCACCAATAGAAGCCTGCCAACTTGCTCTTTTTAAAAAAGTTGACAGTTAAACTGACCCATCATGACTGTATAATTATATGGAATTGGCCTGAGATGTTTAAGAATCCTGCGCTGTTCAACCTCACTCTCTCTTTCGAGCAGCTGCTCCCCCTCCAGGCCCTGCTAGGCTGGGGTGGTGGCTGGGAGGCGAGGTTAACCTGAATAAACTGCCCTTACACATTTGCATGACTTAAGGCTCCTAATGATTTTCTGGGGATCGCAAAATCTGGGCACAACAGCAGGACAGCTGGAAAGCACAGATCAAGGGAGCTAGCAGCCGTGGCTTAAGATACACTGTGAAGTGGGGGAGGTGAGAGGATAAGACAGAGGTCCTACGATTACCATTCAACTGTGTACCTGTTACACAAAAATCATCCCAATAAATACATAGAACTGAGCTGTGAGCCAAGCACAAAAGTCAAGAATCCTCACACTTCTCAAAATGAGCCATGGACTTATTGCACTTCCCTGGCATTTCTGGGAAGCACAGGCAGTGGCTTCATTAATAGCCCATGCCGTGGGGCCCAGCGCTATAACCTAGTGGCTAAAGTCCTTGCCTTGCATGCGCTGGGATCACTTATGGATGCCGGTTCATATCCCAGCTGCTTCCCTTCCCTTCCAGCTCCCTGCTTATGGCCTGGGAAAACACTCGGGGACAGCTCAAAGCCTTGGGACCCTGCGCCCACATGGGAGACCCTAAAGAAGCTCCTGGCTCCTGACTTCAGATCAGCTCAGCTCAGCTCAGCTCCAGCCTTTGCGGCCACTTTGGGAGAGAACCAGCAAATAGAATATATTTCCCTTTGTATCTCCTTCTCTCTGTACATTTGCCTTTCCAATAAAAACTAAATACATCTGACTATGCTATTGTAATAATATAGGCGAAATCAGTGGGGGAGAGGAGACCTGTGGAAGGGGTAAGGAAAATCCCAGAGCCCAGAGCAAAGATCTTCCTGGACCCTCGATGACGTCATGGATTATCTGGGTCCTCTTTGCTCCTCACACAAACCCCCCCGGCTCTTCGGAATCCTAATCAGTGTTCAGTGCTGTGATCATTTGCTTAATACTTCTCTTTACTACCAGAATGAAAGTTTCATGGGGTTAGGGATGGCTTCTGTTTTTGTTTTGTTTTCTCCTTGGTCAAAGGGCAACAGCGTGGCTGATGACAGGTGTAAAACAGGTGTAAAACAGGTGCAAATGGAAATGAAGAATGGGGAGGATCAGAGGGCCTAGGGGTCCCAGGATGTGCAAAGGGACAGACCTCTCAGCAACAGATCTTTACTGTAGCTTGTTACGAATGAACTTCAAAGAGCCAGCATTACTTGTCCAAAGGGCAGTTTACACTTCCTCCTGGCACATGATCTCTAAGACTAATCAGCATGCCCAGGGAAGAATAACAATGTTTCCAAAGAAGAAAGAAGTATATAAAGTGACACGATCACTTACACAGAACATCTGCCTTGAATATATTAAATAATTGAAGCACAGCAAAGGAAAACAAAATTACAGAGGGTAACCAGTGAAATGGTGCAGGCTTCTTGGCCAACGGCGACCTCAGGGGATCTGGCCCAGGAGCCCTAAGGAGGTGGGACTCCTCCAGCAAGTCCAGGCGAGTCTCTCACCTTGAGCCTGGGTAGTTCTTTGCATTTTAACAGAGTTCAGGCTTAAACCTCAACCCGCTGATCCAATGGGGGGGAAAAAAAAAACAGTTCCCAGTATGTTTCCAAGGTGATGATGATGGACTCACCAAGACCTAGGCAGTGCTTTGGGTTAAGGAAGAGTTTGGGATTAACCCTCATGGCATGGAAGTGAGTGAGCAAAGGGCTGGAAGTGAGTGAGCTGCTGGCCAAATGAGTATCAAACCCTAAGTATCTCCCTTGCATTCGTCTGCCCGGGTGGATAGAGGTTATTACAGGTTTGATGAACACTCCGCAAATCAATGGAGAATTGAAACAGCTTACATCCACAGAGCTGAGCTACTGGGAAGGCGAACTTAGACCATCTGTGTCAACAGAACTTAACTCTTTCTCCTAGGATTTTTCTGTTCAGAAAGTTTAGGCTGTAACCCAATAAATAACTTTGCTATTTGCGGGAGGAAATGCCTACAGTTCTGACCAACAGTTTGCTCACCTGGGAAAACAAACAATGATTTGCGCATTCAGACTCATTTCAAAAACCCACCAATGCTGAGCTACTTGGCCCCAAACCCTGCTGAAGCCCGGTCACTTCTGCACCTGGAAAGACCAAGCTTACAACCTACGGTCAGTAGGTTTTGTTAGCTTTGCTCTGTGAACATATCCCTTTGCTGGATTTTTGAGTAGGGACGGCAGTTTGTCTCTTGGCAGAGGGACGTATCTAATAAAACGAGCGCTAACACATACTTGCAGCCCACGAGGGCCAGACTAATCATTAAACACAATTGTTTTTTCTCAGTAAAGACGTTCCTCACTGTCCCAGCTCTGGGGACAAGCTGGTGTTGGCACACTTGCCAGTGTCAGGTTTCAAACATACTTTACTTCTATTTTCTCTGTGTGTGTGTGTTTATTATTTTGCATTTTCCAAATATTTTATAATGCACAAGGGCGAGTCCAAGGATGAGCAAAAGGAAACAAAGCAGAAAGACACAAAAGGGGAGGAGGAATCTTCAAGTGTCAGAGTGACCAACAAGTCTCCATGACACATGAAGACTCCGCCTATAGCCCCCCTCCATCTACATGCTGCATGGAATACACAGCACGAGCAGGTACTAGGAAGGGCACATACTTCACAGGCAGCAACATGCAGGTATCCATTTACAGTTTCATTTCTCATTAAGCTAGACAGAGAGGATGGATGGCTTTAAGCACAGTGCCCTGCTTCTCTCAAGCTCTCGTCTCAGGAGCCTCCGGGCTGCAAGATAAAAGTCACCAGCAGCAAATCACACCAAGCCAGCTGCTGGACAGAGTCCAGGAATGTGTTGTTTCATTTGTGAGCCCCTGAAGCGACGCAGCGAGTAGAACACACCGGCCCGCAGCACCCATGTCCCACACAGCCAAGTCCAACTTACACTGCAAAAGCACATCCAACTGAGAAAGCGCTAAACACCCACCTCCCCCCAACGTCCCCTTAAGTGCCTGACGGGGTGTAGCATTTCCCTGTGCCCGGCTCTTGTGCCACACAGTAGAACAAACTCACAGAACTCCCAACCTGCTGTAAGACACGGTCAGGAGCTGAAGCACAATTTGGGCAGGCTGTCTGAGCAGCAGCTGGCCCAGAGTGAGTGAGTGAGTGAGTGAGTGAGAGAGAGAGAGAAGCAAGTGCCGGCTTCTCTCCAAAGCTCCCCAGGCGGCCAGAACCAGGGAGCAAGCAGAACGTTCCCGATCCCCTTCAAGGACTTCTCCTTACCTTAAAGAAGCTTCCTCGCTTGTCCAGCCCACGGGCGCCCATGGTTGGTGTAGACATCTCCCCAGTGAGGCTCCACTGTGCGCCGGCAACTCCTGAAGGTAGAAACATTTTTTAATGGTTAGTCCAGCCTGTAGGAAATTCCTTTCTAAGCCACAGAACACTCACAACAACAGTCCTGCCAAGATCTTTTTCCGTCAACAACACAGTGCCATTTATTTCCCACCACAGCCCTTGCACCTCCTCGCAGCCCGATTTCCTGCCTGGCCGGCAGAGTTCCTGGGCTGCGCCCTACCTCGCAGCCCCACCCCCAAGCTCTGCAGCTGACGGAACAGGTCCCCAGGACCACGGGAGACATAATGATTGCTTTGTGTGTCTTGCTTGACCTCAGCTGAAGTCCCCCAAAGGACCCACAGTACATGTCCCCATAATGTGCTCTCAAAGCTTGCAGATTTGATGTGGCAGAATAGAGAGGGGCCGAGGAAGAGGAGGGTCTGTGGGGCCCGGGAATGCTGCTGCAAGGAGGTGAGGTCATCTACAAGCCCTGCCGGATCTTTTCCCCAAGGCAAGGTCAACAGAAGGTCAGTGGGAAGAAATCTGTCCATTTTCACAGGGCCAGGGAGGCTAATCCCGCATCCGCTGGTGACAGAGGTAGGCTTGTGCTAAGGGGCAGTGCGTAAACAACCCCAGAATCATGCAAAAGGCAAGCTGACAACACGATCCTGAAGCCAAACCGTGCTTACCGGAGCTTGCAAACTAACCTGCATGAGTGTGAAAAACTCAATAATTGTGCCCTTGGAGCCACAAAATCTTCAACATTCACTGGGAAGTTAAATAAATCCCTACCCAGACCACAGTGCACACAACCTCCCCCCATCAACTCCTGCCATAACACGCACGGGAGGTAGCTCGCCCCAGTGAGGGTAGACACCCATGGAAAAAAAGTCAAAACATCTCCCGTATCACCAAGGAACATGCAGAGTGCTCCAGGGAGCCCAAGCTGCTTCATTCCCCTCTGGGAGACAGAACCAGCCAGCAGCGAAAAAGGGACTCTGAGGAAAGTGTTTAGGGATGTTACAACAAGCGGGAAAGACAAGTGTGTGGGCACAGAGGGGGGCTGTGGCCCCCCAGTCACCTCTCCATTGCTGTTCAAGAACCACACCTGGGAAGGCTAAGATGGCACATCCCCCCCAAGCCTTTTTCCAGAACCTTCACCTGTTGGAGTCGCTGCTTCAAAGACTGGGACCCCAGGAAGGCTCAGCGGGGTCTTCCCTGTGTTTGTTTCTGCTTGCAGGCCCACTGGGATGAAGGCCAGGGCTAGCCCGCTGACCCAGCGGCTCAGGAAACTTCCAGCAACCCTGAGCTGCAGGGTCTCTGAAACTCATCCCCCAGGAGCAGTGGCTCCAGAGCAGAGAACACAGGATGGAGAACAGGACGGGAACAGCAGGGAGGAAAGCATGAACTGTTTAGCCCCAGAAGCACAGAAAATTTGCAAAACAGACAAAAACCAGCTACATATATGGCTTCCATGGAGCATTCTTCTCTTTCACACATAGCCTGTGTCTTTCACGCAGCCTGGAAATTCAGGCACGGCGCAGTCAGAGCCAGGACTTCATTCCTCGTCCAGCTCATCCAGCTCTAAGTTGCTCTATTCAGAAGGGTTTCTTTTTGGTGTTGGGGGGGGGGGGGCGGTCCCATTTATAAACCCTGACGGATGAGCCCAGACAAGCAGGGAATTTTGCCTACAGTAGTGGAGCAAAGGCTTTTTTTTTTTCTTCCTTTTCAAGTCAGGCCGTGCAGTTTGAGTCCCCGGAGGAACAGACAGACCCCTTTCATTTTTTGTCAGAGGACACAGCTGCCTAAAGCAGCCCAAGGACGGAGATGTGTCCAGGTGAATGACAGGGACACAACGCCAGGTGCCACAGCAGGTGCATGCTGCCACAGAAGCGAATCCTGGGGCCTTCCCCGCGGCCCAAGCGGACAGCACAAGCACAGATGCCTTTGAAAAATAAAAAAAAAAAAGTTCTTCAAAGCTCCCAGAAGTTCTGATTTAAGGTCTTTCCTATTGCAACAAATGCTTCCTTCCCAAATTGTAACCTCTTACACCTTGGCTCAGTATCGACGGCAATTGAGTCTCATTTAGAACAATCTTTGTTCCTTTCCACTCACAGTTCCCCGGCCCTCACCAGCTCTTTTGTCCCCAGACCACCCTAGGAACAGCCAGACTAAACCAGAAGGTACTGTGGTTGGAGATACGGGGAAATCCTTGTATATATATATATATATATTTAACACCAGCTGTTCCTTTCCTACTTTCCAGAGAAATGAGAAAAAGACTCTTGGGGAAAGAAAAAATTTTAAAAGCAAGCCCGGTGCATCCAATGTGTCTTTCCAGATACTCGTAGCAAACAAAACTTAGCCACAGAACCCCGGAGAGCAAAGCGTAGCCCTAATGGGCCAAAGGCCACAGCAAGCAGCTGGGAGCTGCCAGGCCTGTAGGAGAACACCATGGAAAGAATGTAAAGCAAACTCGAGTCAGGGCTGCTGGATGGCCGGATGAAGGCAGGCAGCAAACACTCCTCACTTACCCAGCAAATCCTGTCGCTCCCCAGGGGACAAGCAGCCGTGGTGCTTCAGGTGGCCCCGAGGGTCAAAAGTGATCGCTCTGTTAAAGGAGGAGCAGACCTGAAAAATCCACGACTCCTGGCTGGGTTCCAGGCCAAACTGGCTGTCAGCTGAAAAAGATGGCTCAAGGCTACCACCAGCAGGGCCAGCCCATGCTACTGACGGCGACTGAGGTCAGAAGCCATGGCCACCTCCACCTGGATGCTGGCTGCCCCCGGGGATAGCAGCCGAGTGCCCCAAGAGTCCCAGCTTACCGATGAGCAGAGCTGGAGTGCACCAAGCATTCTCCCGGCTTTCGCACTACCTGGCCACAGGCCAGATTGGGCAAGAGAGAGGCTCTGAAAAGTATTAAAGAGACTCCTCTTTCCAGGCCCCGCCCCCGACCTCCCCTTCCGTCCCCGCCTCCATGAGTCAAACCATAGGCTTCCTATCTGGGCACCGGACAATGCTTATTTACCTATGTTTATTAATTAGCAACTAAAAATCACATCATTTATGGTGTACATCAGAACACAGTAAAATCCATGGACATGGCGGGATGGCTAAGTCAAGCTAATTGCACAGCCACCAGCCCCTCCCCTATTTATCATTCATTCGTGGAGATAACACTGAAAGCTCTCTTGGTGGTTTTCAAACACGAAGGGTTGGGGGCAGGGGCTATTTCCAAAGAGTTTGCGGAAAATGGTATTAAAAGATAAGCTTATGCTGCTGCCAAGATCTCTGAAATCCATGCACTGGTATGCCTACTGGCCATTTGCCATTAACTCGTTCAAGACTCCTGAATACAGAACATCTATGAAACTGAAATTCTGTGCCTTTTGAACAAAATGACCCAACATGGATCTCCTCCTTCCACACCCAACTAACTCACACACACACACACACACACACACACACACACACACACACCCACCCAGCCCCACAACCCCCTGCACCTGTACTGAAACCCGCCAATCATGATTCATCTTGGCCCAGTGCTGTGTTCTCTGCTCCAGACTGCTGGGAGGAGCGGCCATAAGGCCTCCCAATCATTCTCTTCTTTTTTTTCTTTCTAGTATTTGCATCGGCCAAGGCCAAGGTGGACTTCAGTCTTGGTGAACAAGACCTTGTTGTTAGAATGACTTTACAGCTAAGCTGACTGCAGCAGGACAGCATGACTCACTGGGGGACCTGTCAGGTCAAGTCCAAAGCTGAGATATGCACCTCACCTTTTTTCGTCTGAGTCCTTAAACAGCTCCCACACCTTTCATTTTAATGCTTTTCATTTTTTTTTTTTCCTAAGCAGGTAGGAGCGGCTCTATGTCTAGAAGATCTCTGCATTTTTCCAAAATTATCTTTGTATTACCAAACCTGACAAATTGGACACAGAAATGTTATTGCTGGCTCTGGTTGACAATTCCAGTTAAGTGAGCTTAAAAATTAAAGCATATCTTTGTCCATCACTGGCTTTCCCTCACTTAACATTTTTTTTTTTTTTATAAATGATTTGTCAGTGTGTGAGCCTAGTGGCTAAGGTCCTTGCCTTGCATCCACTGGGATCCCATGTGGGCACTGGTTCATATCTTGGCTGCTCCACTTCCCTTCCAGCTCCCTATTTGTGGCCTGGGAAAGCAGTTGAGGACGGCCTAAGACCTTGGGACTTTGCACCCGTGTGGGAGACCCAGAGAAGGCTCCTGGCTTCTTGGCTTTACATTAGCTGTGCTCTGGCCGTTGTGGCCCTTTGGAGAGTGAACCAGTGAATGGAAGACCTTTCTGTCTCTCCTTTTCCCTGTGGATCTGAATTTTCAATAGAAATAATTTTTTTTTACAGACTTGTTCAATTTTTATCGAAAAGGCAGAGTTACACAAATAGGAAAGGGAAATAGAGAAAAAGAGAATGATTTTCCATAAGCTGGTTCACTCCCCAAATGGCTGCAACAGCCAGAGCTAAGCTGATCCAATCTGGAGCTAAGCGCTTCTTTCAGGTCTAGGGGCCCAGGGACTTGTGCCACCCTCTGCTACTTTCCCAAGCCATTAGCAGGGAGCTGGGTCAGAAGTGGAGCAGCCAGGACATGAACCGCCTCCCATGGCACCGGCCCCTTAATTTTCTTTTAAGGTTTTAAAAACCCATTTAAGAGCACGAGTGCTTCCCACTAAAAGAGGTTAATTAAATGATTAGATAGAAAAGCATGAAATGAAAAGTCAAGAACTGTATTCCTGAAAAATTGGTTCCATAACTACATTTTACAATATAATTAGAAATGATGCCCACAGTGCCTCATTTTCTTAAGAACTGAGGAAACAGTTGGCCTGTCTGTGTATAATTATTATCCATATTCTTAGCCAATGATCATTCCCGGTGTCCACAGCACTGGCCTGGTATGCGGCTTATTCTGTTGGGAATCCATGTGTGACTGGGTCACAGACTCCCTGCCTCTCACCTCCTCCAGATAATACAAGTTCAGTGCCAAACAGCCACCCGAGGAATGCAGCCGGGCAGCTGGCTAGGAACTTCTTATTTTCTGGGATAGAATATTACCTCTTGCATCTCCCATCCGGTGCCCTCATTTCCCCTTTAAGTCCATCCAGAATGCTCTCCCGTAAATGTGCCAAGTCTCTTACTCATCGCTTGAGTGACAGCTCCTTCTGCCCCCCTGGAATGGGTGGCCACTCCCAAGGTCACTGAAAGTACATGTGTTTTCAAACCTCCTCCATGTGGTCAAGCACCACTGCGATGATGTCACACACACAAAGCAGCAGCATCACAAAGCATGCGGGCTCTTTTCCCATAGGACCTGTGTGCCGGCTGGACAGGGAGTCCACCTGTCCTCAGGGTCTGCTGGCCAACCTATGGGGACCTGAGGTCAGTGCTTCCTTTCCATAAGGCCCTCTGACCACAGTGGAGGAGGGTCTATGGATGTACTACTGCATTTTGGCTTGTTTAGACAGGCAGAAAGTCAGAGAGTTCCCATGCACTGGCTGACTCCCTCAAAGCTTCCCAGCAGCTGCAGGAAAGTCAAGCCAAAGCTGGGAACTAAGTATTCCACACAAGATGCCCAGTGGACAGCATTCGGGACAGCATTCATTAGCAGGAAGCTAGAAGTTAGAATGGAGGATCAGGTCCAGTGTGGGATATAGATGTCTTAGAGGGTGTCATTAAGCTGTCTGTTGGGATGCCTGTTTGGTTGGAGTTCCGGCTATTCTAAACTTTCAATTCAGCTTTCTATTAACCTGCACCATGGGAGCCAGCAGATAATGGCTCAAATACCACACGGGTGACCTGGATGGAGTGAGACTCCTGGCTTCAGCCTGGCCTGGCAGACAGAAGATTTCTCTCGCTCTGCCTTTCAAAGTAAAGAAAATAAATAAACATTATAAATAAATGATTACATAAGTAAATCTAGTCCAGGTGCCTGGATCCAGGTGTCCAGTAGTAGCTCTGGGGCTGAGCCCACACTGCAGACACATAACAACAACACAGTTAAGATGTACAATAAAAAACATGAAAACTGCTTCTGAAGACTTGTGTCCAAGTAATTCATTCAAGTTGACTCCGGGTGACGCTGGTGAGGGAAAAGGGCAACACACAGGACATGCACTGACAAGAGGGAATCACCCTGGGCACCTGTCATTTACCAGTTCTAGGAGCTCTGAGAGCCAAAGATGATCCCGACAGAAGGGAGGTGCATCTGTCCACCAGTTCCCCGAGTTGTTGCTGAGAGCCACCCCTAGGGGGCCTTCATTCACCAGCCCTTGCACATGCGCCTGCAGCCAGGCCAGCCCTTGGAGACCAGGCCAGCATGCATGCCAGTGTTACAGGCCCAAGGTGTATGGAAAGGACTCAACAGTCCCTCCTGCTGTGGGCAGCAACATTAATCCATTAGGGCATTGGGCATGAGCTGCAGATGCCAAGCTTGTGGGGTCACACCAAGCTGACACGACAGGATGCCAGACTGCCCTACTTGCTCCTGTGCCCTCATGACCCACCCACACAATTGGTGGAAGGACTTACATCCTGTGCAGATGTGCAGGGATCACGATTCTGACCTCTATCCTACCCTAGGCTGAATCCCAAGCAAGGCCGCTTCTGTGCAAGAATTTGAGCTGAGAGGCACAGAGGAGCTGCTTACTAAGCTCCAAGGTCGCATTTGGAGCCCTACAGAGGCTCATTGTATGGAGAGTAGGGCTCCTGACAGGAGCTTAGGAGAGGGCATGAGCGGTTTGGGTGGATTTACATTCCTTTCCAACAAAATATGCTTTGGCCAGAAGGATGGAGAAAAAGAGCTCTCAGAGGCAGGTGGAAACTTCAGGTGCTTATCACTATCTTATCAGATGTTTACTTCAACTTCTTGAAACAAACAAGGTAAATGCTGATAAACAAAAAGAAACAAACAAAAAACTATGCCCAGCAAATGTCACCTCTGATGACTTCCTTTGCGACCACTATAGGGAGGGTGCAAGGTGGGTGGAGTGCTTGCTTTCTCTCTAATTCAGTAACTAACTTGAAGGAAATGTGGTTGATTGAGTTTTCTGTACGTGGGGCAAAGCTGTGGCTTGCTGTCAAAAGATTTCTACCCTGTTACTGTAATCTGGTCTTTGTGACCTTAGGAAATTTTTAACTTCATGTTTAATAAACACAAATGTTTTTGTTGGAATAAATCCAGGAACAATAGTCTGCATGAGGGAAATATCTTTTGGAACTCCGTTCATTCAGCCACCCTAAGGTTTCTGGGTTAGTTTTCTCATGCTGTGCAAACTGTCTAAAACCTTCTTCTGTTTTATTTTAATCTACGTGCCTTTCTGTTCCCCTGAGGCAAGAACTTACAATTACTGGAGATTCCTGCTTCATTGGAACAGCTTCAAAGCTTGAGCCTTGATGGCTGGCTCCATGATCCACTTCTATGCCTGGCATGTGGGCGAGGACTGGAGTTTTCCTTTTTCTAACTGGGATATTCATTTAAATCTAACTTGGTGGAAAATAGTTTGCAGGGATGAATTCCATTCCTCATAAACTTTCAATCAGAGAAGTGATAGATCCAACAGATTTTTTTTTCCTCTGGGAAGCTTTGCTGCTGAAGGTTACTGACCAGTGTCTACAAGGTTGCAACATTTTTAAAGATTTATTTATCTTTATTGCAAAGTCAGATATATAGACAGAAAAGGAGAGACAGAGGATCTTCTGCCCAATGATTCACTCCCCAAGTGACTGCAACAGCTGGAGCTGACCCGATCCGAAGCCAAAGTCAAGAGCTCTTCCGGGTCTC